ACCCCAATCCCCAAAACCCCAAAACCCCAAAACCCCAGTTGGCAAATTAGAAACTGATTAAGTTATAAAATAAATTTATCGTCTATAAATATGCAAATTTTGAGACCAAATCATACATTGGAGAATGAAGATTTCATCCAGAGTTTGTCACCACACATGTCAATGACCAAAAATGATAGAAATAGCAGCATCAGCTCTAGAGATGAACGGCTGAGGGCAAAAGAACGGATTTTAAATCTGACTCCAAACCATAGAGTCTCTCAGCCAATCGTAAAGCCTTTTGTCCCAAAGTAATCTATTTGTCTAAATTTAGTAGTTATGCTCAAAGAATAGGTAAAATTAAGGATTCAGTAGATAACACTACACCTATTTATTCGGTAAGATAATGCTATCACACATAGAGGACGAAGAAAGATAGCAGGAATAACTCACAACAGGCCTTGAATAGAACTTTTGAAGATATCCCTTCTCATAATTACTCAAACTTCCTCAAAATCGATGACATCGAGGGATCATCAAGTAAACAGTTATACAGAGGCAAGCCCAAAGACATCATGGGAAAGTATAATGTTATTGAAAATTCCAGACCAACCAGGCTTACTAAAAGACGAAGAAGGGGTATTTATGATGGAATGGACTACAGAGATGTCACTAAAGTTAAATAAAAGTGGGATGGACAGCGTAGAGTCTCATAATTTTCACCTCAATCATGACTACTCTAAAAATAGTAACATTAGTAGATCATCCTTAGCAGATAATAATATGAGCATTGATAATCAAGATGCTGCAATGGAAAGTATGAATGAAAATTATGAAGATCAATACAGAAAAATCTTAACTGAATCCAAACGTCAACGAAAAGAACCCCTAAACCATCCAAGAAAAATGCGATCTTACGAATCAAATGCAAACAATTCCGCCAAGACAGTACAAGACTATCTCCAAAAGACCCGTAAGAGGGCTGAAAAATACGTTCCTCTAAGAGGCGGCCATGTAAACTCCACTCTCCCAGTCACCACCCACACTTCCAAATACGGTACCTCTCCTCCTCACATACAGACCCTTACTCCCCACCTGAAATCCCCCCAAAACCTACTCCACAATTCCTTCACAAATTTCAAAAATTCCAAAATACCCAAAAAGTTTCTAAGACTCCTGCCAAAGGGTCTGAGCCCCTCTGCCAGAAGCCTACTAGTCCATTGGGGTATCATGAGAATGAAGTTGAGAGAAGGGTAGTACAGAATAGGAGGAATTTGTTAAGAGATCTGAAGGATCAGGGTATTAGTGAAGGGCAAAGGCAGATGACTAGGTAAGATTTGGAAATTTGGGGGTTAGTGAAGGGAATTTGGAGTCTGATGCATATGGTGTAGGAACGACATGAAGATTGGTGGGAGACAAGGCCAGCTCAGGACTGTGGGTAAGAGATGAGGAGAATGTATAGAGAATGTCAGGCAAAATACAGAGTTGAATAGCAGAAGAAGTATTGGTCAAGTTTAACTGATTTAGTTAGTCTTAATAGGAATTTTAATAACTCTCAAAGGATGGAAGATGTTCGCAATACTTCAAGTGAGAGAATGGCAATTTAAAAAATTAATACTTTTAGAACAGAACCATAGATCAAAACTCTCAGCCTTACTCAGAGTACCCTCAGTTAGTAAATATTCCCAAAAAGTCCAAAATTGAAAGACCGACTTACAGCAGAATTTATAAATTTAAACCTCAAGATATCTCTTCAAGAAGATTTTGTTCAGGGAAGAAATTGGTAAATCATCTCCTTATTCTCTAGGCTGGCCAGGCAAACTTCGTAAGCGCTTACCGCCAGATAGAAGACGATCATGTAATAAGAAACATGGATCTCAGACCCAGCCTACAGCCGATCCAGAAATCCAAAAAGTAAAACCTAAGGAGACCTAAAGTTCTAAAATTCCCTTAAAATCTACTAAAAATATATTATTTTACTCTAATTTTTTAGGTTTGTTCTAATAATTCTCCTCTAATATTCAGCCCAAATACCTTTCGTTGGGGTTTTGGGGTTTTGGGGTTTTGGGGTTTTGGGGTTTTGGGG